GTCTTTTTAGGTGTTCCTGTTTGGTTCTCTTTTTTTTAATTTTGCGTGCGTGTGTTTGTCAGAAGGACCTTAATGGGAGATCCCTAAACGGGTCAGAGTTTCGGGCAGTTCGCAAGGTTGTTTAGCCCCTTGACGCCTGAAATGTTCTGTGTTGCAGTGTTTTGGCATGTGATTGCCCAAGTATGCCTGCACTTGCCTCGGCGTTTGCTCCATGGTGCGTTCACACCTCGATAACGACCTCAGTTGTTCCGTGGCCCCCTTTTTCCCTTTTCTTTTGGCGGCTGCCCCACTAAAAATGGTGTTCCCCAAAAAGGGTTCCCTCTTTTTCCGGGGTCGCTGAACAACTGAGCGGCGAGGTGACCGCATTGCACAGCCAATTGTTGAGATTCAACCGTCGCCCAGCGCGACCGCCGCAAATCTGCCCGAGACTGCCTGGACGGACCCAGTTTGCGCGATCCCCCCTTAAGGCCTGAGGTTTGGGTTGCGGCCATTTTTTGTAGGCTGCAAAGAACCTGCTGCTTCTCAGCAGGGAATGGGGGAATGACTCCTATAAATGGTTCCTTTAAGCGAATATCCTTCCGGTTCATTGGCAATTTTCTACTGAGCACCAGCAAGAGAACATGTTTTTTTGTTCCTCATACACGGGTTTGAAATGGAATCTTCGCGGCGCAGCAAAGTGGAGTCTTCCCCCCCCCCCGAGCATTTTGGGATCAGAAACATGAGAGGATGCGTGACCCACTCCCAAAGAACTGTGGCCCTTTTTTGAAATGAAGGCTTTGGCTGTGTTGTTTTGAGGGTACCCTTTAAAAGCCTGCATTTTGGTTCCCATATTTTGAACCACATACCCATTTTGTCGTTGGCAAGGTGCCCAGTGGTATTGCCTTTGGTCTTTGCACAGCGCAATTTCGGCTTTCCTGGCGGTGGCACAAGTTCCTCTATTCTTTCTTTGGGTTGGTTGAAACATCACCTTTTGGGCCGGTTTCAAGTCGGTGTCCTTTGGTGTTGTGTGAGCAAAAATATGGATATATGGGGAGCCCTGCATAGGCCTGGTCATCCCATTTGCTAGTGGGTTGCGATCACTAAAAAGCAAGATCAACTCCAACAAAGGAGTTTCTTCTGCCCAAGAGTCCCGTTCGCTGTTTTCAGGGAAGCGGGTATGGCGACCTGGGGGGTTGTGCCCTGTGTAGGTTTTTTACAAGTCCATTTGGGGTTGCTATTCTTTCTTCTCGTGCTGCCGGTAGCCAGAGGAAGCCGTCCATGGTCAAAGCTAGAGGTAAACATGCTGATATTGTGGCGAATCACGTAACGCCGAACGGAAACACTGGGTTTGGAATTCACGACGGGAATCGTTCACGAGTTCCTGTACGTTAAACACTTGATAGAAAGACCATTTGGGTCTGGTTGTTTTTGCGGGAGCCCAAGAATCGGATGGTTTGAACAAGAAACCAAGCGGGGAAGCCACGAAATTTGCGGGGTGCCCCTGTTTCTTGCTTTCTGAGTTGCTGGACTTTGTACTTTTTGGAGCTCACCATTTTCGCGGTAAATCAAAAGTTTGGACTTGATTTGGGCCATCACTCGATCGGAAGTGAGCTTTTGAGACAACATTATTTTCGTGGTATATAACCCATTTTAGTGGTAGAATGAGATTTTGGGTCTGGTTGTTTGTTTAACTCAGTTGTTCAGTGGCACCCTTTTTCCCGTTTTTTTTGGTGGCTGCCCCACTGAAAATGGTCTTCCCCAAAAAGGGTTCCCTTTTTTCCAGGGTCACTGAACAACTGAGTTAAGGTGCTTGTTTGTTTAAGGAAGCGAAAGAACCGGGTGGTCTTCGTGGTAAACAACCCATGTTGTAGAATGACAATTTGGGCCCGTTTGTTTCTTTAAGGAAACCCAACCGGGTGGTGCACACAGCGAGCTTGGGCTGGCGCTGTCGTAAACTGGCGCTAGGTGGCCCAGGCCATTTTGCAGACCCTGATCGAGAGACAGGCGGGGTGCGGGCGGGGTGCGCCGTTCCAGGCCCGATGGTATGGGTTAAACTTAAACCGCCGGAAAACCGCAGGGTGTTAGTCCTGGGTTCCATTTACTGGGGTCCGTTTTGGGTACCTTTTTTTTGACCGACAGCCGGGTAATGTTCGGGGGAGTCGCCGAAAAGACCAGGGTCCCATAGATGTTCCCTTTGTGGATAGGAAGCGCGTGTGTGCGAAAGTTGAAGCACAGCCAAGATGTCAATTGTACCAGCCAGGTCAGTACTTACCAAAGATTCAGATCCCCGCACATCGGAAAAAAAACAAGACGGGTGTGTCAAAGGGAACCATGGTGGTGACATTGCATCCGGCTTGGTACCATGTTGGTTTCACAGGCTTTGATGCCCAGGATTCATGCCCTACCCGGGTAATTATCCTTTCGGGTTTGAAGGCAAGCCAAAGTAACAGGGCTCCTTAAAAGATACATTTTGCAACCATTTGAAGCATGTTGCTTTTTGCACCAAAATAAAGGGAAACCACCATTTACAAGGCAATGTTGAGGTGTATAGTGTAAAGATCCCTGAGTAACACCACCCATCTTGGGCCAGAAAACGACTGTTTGTTGGGTGTCAAAGTCTTAATCTGAGTTTCTTTGCCTATTGCAAGTGAATCAACCACATTCAACCACAGGCCGTCGATGAATGGCTGGACAACTTTGGGTTTCTGAAGTTCCAACTTGCTCCGACGACTTCCAACTTGCGAAGGGGTCGCTGCAGCAACCAAGATGTGTTGTGACTATCACTCTAGTTGTGTCTTAGAAAAGGGGACCCCTCAATATCGTAGTTTCCCTTCAGTTTCCCTCTAAGTCAACCCCAAATTTATGGGGTTCCAACTTGCTCCCAACTACTTGCATTCCCAGACAATCTAATGTAGGTAGTATATATACACCAAGATTTGCCTTCCAAATGGGTTAAATGTCGGCATGAATATTTCCTACGCGTTTCCTACGTGTTTCCTACGTGTTCTCTGGGCTGAACGCAGGCTGTGGAGAACGCCCTAAGCGGCACATGGCCCCACTTCTTCGCAGTGGGCCTGGGCCTGCGCCCTAGGGCCCCAGGGGCCCCGGGGCAGAGGATTGCTGCGGGGGCACCTTCCCAAGTCACATGGCCATGGGTCTTTTGACCCCGGTTACCCCCAGTGAACGTCCCAATCCAACCACTAAAATCGGTTTTAAGATGGGTGGTGCATGGTGCACCTGCTCCAAAATGGTACCATTGGTGTTGACCCACGGCCACATGGAACCTGACTGGACCGAACTGAGCGTTACGATACCAACCAACTGACATGGAACCTGACTGGGCGGTTCCGGAAGACCATTTTCCTAAAGGGACCGCCGAACGTCAGGTTCCATGTTTTGTTTGGGAGGGTAACTCAGTTTCGCACGGGCGCAAAATAATGGGGTTGTAACCCAACCCAACCCAACTCAAAAAAAGCAGGTAAAGTGGGTACCCTGGTTAAATGGAATCACTGGGGGGCCTGCCAACCCAACCCAACACTAATTAGAGGTGTTTGTACAGGGCTTGTAACCCAACCCAACCTGGGTGTGTCCTGTTTGAGCAGGCCCTTTATGGGCTTTTGTGCAGGGGAATCAACGAAATGTTGGACCCATAGATTTAAGTTGTTGTTCTTATTTAGAGACCGAGGAATTATGAATTTGGGGGCTGCGGCTTTCTCTGCGTTACACAGGCAGGACAACATTAGAGCTTGTAACTTTTCCATCCATGGACCTTTGGAGAGACACTCTGGAAGTGTGTTTTCTAGTCAGGCTACTCCTAAGTTGTGGATTGGACTTGCATTTGAACCTCTGGTTCTTGTAGGGGGCAAAGGGGAAACCACCTTCCTAACCTCCAAATCATCAATCAAAGCCACCAAATAGAGAGGAGCTGAATTAGAAAGTAAGCCTTCCGGCAGTGCAGGGTTTCCGTTTCCACGCAAGGTTGCACCTGGCTCCAAGCGCTCTGTAACATGTCCACTCCACGCGAAAAGTGGCCGCATTGCAGTTCTCATCGCCTGCCAAGAAACTCCCGCGAAGCTGCAGTGGGGCGGGGCAAGGACTGCGACAAAATCCTGAGTTGTTCAATGATTAGAAGAACACGGGTGTGTTGCTTCTTGGCTATCCGGTTGTGGTCTGCTTTAAAGGGAATCCAAGAGGAAAAACACGACTCTTTGTTTCTCTGCGTCGCAGTTCCGGAAATCAGTCACGCAACATGCATTTTCCTGGCTTCCAAAACATGCAAACCCGGTGGATTGAGTAATGTATATGTTTTTGCAGACCCTCCATTTATGATCCATGTCCAGCGCATGAAGGCGGAAGGATGGCTTCTCTCTCTTGCCGCGTTGACGAGCTCCCCAGCTGCCTAGGTCTGCTCTACTTGGGACAGCAGGCTTGGGGCTTGGATGATCTGCACCTCCCCAAGTTTTTTTTTCGATTTTTTTCGTCGAGGCCCTTTTGCAGTCTCTTGCGTTGCAAGACATCAGGTGTACCCAGTGCTTGCAACACCTCTGTAATTTTAAGTTCCAAAGGGGGAGGGGGCGTAAGGCACGCCTTTTCCCTTTTGGGTTTCCTCCGAACGCGATCGGCTCAATGGAAACCACCGGTAAGTTCAACTTGTTGACTGTGAGCTGTATGAAGGGATGGGTATTCCAGATCCGTAGGCTGCGTTTCCCAGGTCCCCCAAACCGGGCCCCAAAGCTCCCCCAAGACCGTAGGTGTCCTTTTTGGGAAACATCGATGGCCCTGGTCCATGGAATAAAACCAACCTAAACCAGTGGAGCCCATCTAATCCTGAACCCCCAATAACCTAAAACATACCTCTTAAAAACACAACTTTTCAACTTTTTGGGGGTAACATGGGCTATATGTCTGTAAAAGATTAACTTCCCCAGGGCTTGGAGTTTTAAGGGGTAAGAAAAAGGACACCCAAAACCCCCAAAACCGATCCCCCCGATTCGCCGGGTGTTTTGTTTCTTTTTCCGCCGGCAGGATGCCGCGGAGGCCACGCTGAGCGCTCTGGATGCCATCACCCACCCCATGGGGAAGTACGCCAAGCTCACCGTGGAAGGCTTGAACCCAGTGGAAGTACCTGGAGAAAAATGGTTGGTCATTACCCTGGAAGTACCTGGAAGTACCAGACAATCCATGTACCTGGAGTCTCCATGACCCTTAAACAATGGGGCCATTACCCACAATAATGGGCTCATGGACTCATTCTTAAAGGGTCCTTCTCCAGGTGCATAGCCCTTGTTCATACCCCCTTGCCTTCCCTGGTTTCCAACCCACTTTAGAAGGGGTATATAAAGCCCTTTGCGGAGAGGGGTCTGAACAGCAGAGACTGGAACAGAGACAATACGTGAAGCTTACCGGTGCTTCCAGGCGTTTCGCTACTTAGTTACCAGGAAAAACTCTCTCCTCCAGGTTTTGCCATGGGTTTCCTTATGGGTTTCCTTATGGGTTTCCCTATGGGTTCCTATGGGTTTCCTTTTGGGTTTCCTTTAAATTCCAACCAACCGGGGGGGGGTCCGAATTCCATTTTGAGAAACACATGATGTTGTGTGTTTTTCCTTCAGCCGCTGGTTACCATAGTGGCTAAAAGCACTGGGGGTTAGTTTACAGGGTCCTAGCCAATTTTCTGCCGATCTCCCAAAAAGGGAGCCCAAAGTGGCCCGCTTCAAAGACCAAACTGAGGTGGGAAGCCCCTGGTTTTTGGAAGTTGGAAAACTCCTTTGTGGGTGGCTTGAAAACCAAAACCTTTGGGCCCGCCCCATCCATTTTTGGATGGCGGGCCCAAGCTCAAAGACGAGCAACCCCGCCATTTTGAGAAGAGCTTTTTCAGGAGAGGTTCAGGCGAGTGGCAAGTGACACCAACTCGGCAAGTTGGGCGACCGTCCATTTGATTTCTGAACCCGATGCGAACATCTTCTCAGGAAACCATCCAAAAACCCAGGGGAAACAGATCCGGTTTTTGAAAAGAAGGATGGTTGAAAAGAATGGACAAGGAATCAACCCCTAGAGAAATACGTGTCTTCCATTTGGTTCCCCTTTAAATGAACCCCAAAAAGGGCAGCCTCCGAATCAACCCCTAGAGACTCGGTTTCGGTTTCGGTTTTGGGGGAGCGCGTCCGAAACCGTTGCGGTCCGGTCCGCGAAACCTCTCCGCAGGCCTGGCGTTCGCGTACAGCGGGGATGTGCTGCACGTGCAGAAGATGCCCTGGGCCCAGTTTTTGGCAGGAAACGCGGAAACGCGGAGCAGAGAACAAATCGGGGTTCAGGTGCTCGGGTTTAGGCAAAATTTGTTTGGAGGGAGGAGGTAAGTTGGGAGAGAGAACAAATCGCGGTTCAGGTGGTTTAGGTAGTGAGGGGGGGCGGGGTTGGTAAGTTGGGTTTCGTGTTTGTTGGGTTGTTTGAGAGGGGGTTGGTAAGTTGGGTTTCGTGCTTGTTGGTTTGTTTCCCCCCCCCCCAACAGTTTGCTCGGGTTTCGGAGTGGGGGTTCAAATGTCTTCCCCAAATTGCTCGGTCTAAGTGCTAAGTTGCTGTGTGGTTCAAGACTTTGCTTCAGGTTTGCTTTATTTGCGAGCCCATGGTTGAGTTCAGCTTCCGGGTTTGATTGATTGCTCCCTGAATTTCATGGCCTGGGCAATGAACATGAACCACCTAGCCATGGTTGTTGTTGGGAAACATTTCTAGCATTTTCGCTTCTTGTGGTTTCGTGGTTGAAATCCGAATCCACCGAACTGCCAAAATTTGTGTTTTTTGTTTGCTCCCCTTCCAACGTCAACCAAGCCAGGACATGTTCGGCACTCCCGTTTCCGGAGCCAAGGGACCCGGCACTTTCCGTGGGGAGAGAGGAATCACGCGGTCGAAGAAACCCAGACCGGTTTCTGGGTCGATTTTCTGACGACAAGACCAGTATAACGTACCAGAAACGTTACCCAAGGTACAACCAATCGACCAGAAACGTTCTTAAGGGTTTCTTTGGCACGGTTTCATTTCGTGGTACGAAATGGATTTCCCAAGCATCCGCACGCGCTGGGGGGCAAAATTGGTTCACGAATTCGACCCGATTCCGGCCCCGGAGAGAAACCCAAGAAGTTGTTTGAAGAAATCAGTGAGCAACAATCACTTAGCACATGGCCACACGGAACCCCAATTGGGATAACTGTAGCTATTGGTTGGATGCCCGAGCTGGTTTCTACTCACTATAGTTGTTTCAACATTAGACAAGAGCTTCGCCCCACCCTGGCCCAGAAGATTCATTTGTTGGGGGGTTCGGGAACCGGCAGAAGGATCCTTACTGGGAGCATGGGCCCACATGAGGATTTCGGCCATGTCATTTCTGTTGCATTGAACAATTGAACAACTCCTAGCTACCGGGGCGGTATGCCATGAGGTTTTCCTGAATTGCATGGATGGGGGGGGGCTATTGTTGCACCCAGGATAAGTCAAGGATAAGTTCGAGGCTAAGCCCCACAAAATGGCTTCAAGGGTTCAACAAGGGATTCCTCCCCCATGGCCCCCCTTGAAGCTCATGGCCTGTTCTTGGTCGAACTTCAGTGCTATTTCTGACGGGTCCTGGTGTCTTCTGGGAGTTTACGCTGCCACCAATATGGCGCCTACGGGGACATGGCACGGTCCCTTGAGGAAACTGATCCGCCAGGTACCCTTTCGCAGGTGCTATGCAAGCGGTAAGAAAGGTGGGGGATCGGTGTTTGATGGTTCCTATCGTCGCTGGTTTTTTGTCGTTGTTTCTGTGGTGGTGTTGTCGGGTATTCGAATTCTAGCGAATTGAGCATGATACCCCATAGGGAACCTCTGGATTGCGAAGGAAAGCTAACGAAGAACTGCAATGTTTCGGCTTGTGAACAAAAGGTGAACTAAGGGACATCACTCATTTGGTGCTGGAGTCTTTTTGTGACCCTTAAAAATGGATGGTCATCACCAAAAACTATAAAGATTCGGGTCATGGACCCATTTTTGCTTCGGGTCAAACTCGGAGCCTCCACCTAGAGTCTCCATGACCCTTTAAAGATGGTTGGTCATTACCCTAAATCATGGGGTCATGGACCTATTTTTAAAGGTTCAGAGTCGGAGACTCCAGGCAGGTGGTTTTTCAGGACGCAACCGCTCTCAGGTTGCAGGCCTGCACCGATCACCTGGAGGAATCGGAGTCCTTCCACCAGGCCAGGTTTCCAAGGGCCACAAAGCAGGGCTTCCAGTTACCTACGGTATAGGTGAGCAGGTATCATACGGTTTGCCTTGGGGCCGCAAAATGGTGCTTCCAGTTTCCTACATTTTGGGGGCACAAAAGCACCCACCACTCCTGAAGCTGGTTTCTTATCCAGTCCTTCCCAGTTGAGCCACTTGCTCAAAACCTGGGTAGATGAAGGATAGGGACAGTCCCAGCCAGAAATACTGTGGATGGACGAAATCCTGCACCACTTTGAAACCATGGGAAGCCATTGTTTGTTGGTATTTACAGGGGAATCATCCTTCCAGGGTTTCTTAGGTGGTGCAGGATTTCGTCCATCCACAGTAGTTACGGATATCCGCCTTCTTAATTCTTGAAGCATGGTTCTGGGGATCGACCTTTTTAATACCGGGTTTTGAGCAAGTGACTCAGTTGCCGCGGATGTAGCGGCGAACTTCTGGCAGCGGGTCAAGCACTGGGTCAACCCGAAACCAAAATGCTCAGAGTGTCCTCCTGGTGTTCGTGTGTAACACCCGAGTTTCAGCTTGGGTTTTCGAGTAAAAAGCCAAGTTTCCTCCTGGTTTACGTTTGCAAAACCCGAGTTTCAGCTTGGGTTTCCGGCAAACGCCAACCCAACTAGGTCCCCCAGTAGTGCCCTTTTACATGTTTTTTTTGGTTTTTGGGTCCCCCTGCTAAAATTGACCAAGCCGGAGAAAAAAAGGTAATCACCACGGTACCAACTTGTTCTAACCTCTCAAATCTGGAGGACCAACCCAGAAGGGCCCGGAGCCGCAGGCCGCGGCGGTGCTGGGCATCGCCCTGATCGCCTTCGGCGAGGAGTGTGGCGCAGGGCTCGGAAAAAATGGGACGGGCGAGCGGGAGGTCTGGTGGCGTCTAGTGGATCCAGGGCCATGGGAACCCTCCCCCCCCAAAAAAAAAGAGAATGGTGCCTGGATCGCCAGGGGCGTTTTTTTTTGTTCTTCTTGATTTGTTTTTCCCCATGCACTTTACCTCAAAAACCAGCAACAGTGACTGACAAACGCAGCAACTTGGCTATCTAGGTGGTTTTCCGTGTTGGTTTTCCTTCAAAAGCTGTGTTCCTGTTGTTTTGCTTTAAAACCACCACACAAAAGGGGTACCTGGAGTCTCCTTCTGCCCCAAATCTGAAACGGTTTATCATTCCCCGAGATAAAAAGGGGTGACCCCATTTTTGATTCGGATTATGGAGACTCTTGGAAGCTGCCAGTGGCCTGCTTCACCCCGGGGCAGCTGAAATCGCGCGCTGAAAGGTGCCGAAATGGCTTGCCGGTCCATCGACCACATCCTTCAGTACGGAGAGATCACTCTGAGGTGCCGCGTAAAAACGGGGAAGGGTTACTTACCTCTTACAAAACACAACTTTTCAATTTTTTGGGGGTAACATGGGCTATATGTCTGTAAAATATTAACTTCCCCAGGGCTTGGAGTTTTAAGGGGTCAGGTTTTTCCAAGGCCAACCTTCGGGGGTGTCGTTTCTTGTGCTGAATGTTGAACCATGAGTAATAAACTCCTGTTTATATTAATATGGGGGTGTCCCTGGTTTTAGTGAGGATTTATCACTTTTGGAGGGGAACACCCCCATATTAATGGTTTATTTATCCGGGGTCAACATTACCCTTTTGGGAGTGGTTTTAAATGGAAACCAAGGAAGAGCAGCATCACTTAGGGGTACCCCATTTAAGACACACCCATTTCCGTTTGTCTTTTGAGGGACCAACAGCCCCAAAAAGGGTACCCCCCATAATTAGGATGCCCATTTGTGGCACATGAGGTAAGTCTCCTGATCATGAGTGTCTCCCAGATTGACTACAGAGGTTGGCCGAGCTTGCGCAATGTGTGGTGTGTCAGGAGGATCTGGGCATTGAAACCAGGGGTCCCTGCATGTCCCTCTTCAGCCCAGAAACAACATCGCCTCATGTTAGGACTTTCACTTTTTGCCAACTAATGGGTTTTCCGTATTGGACCGCTAAAAGTTAAACCTTTAGCAGGGCTTCGCAGATTTCGCACCCGAGAGTTTCTCTTCAGCCATCGTTCTTTTCAAAAACCAGCCATTTCCCCAGGGATTTTGGTGGTTTTCTAGAAAGAAGGATCCTCTTGGGTGCTTGAGGTGTATCCTGGGAGCCTGAGAACCTACTATGCCGTTCAAACAGGTCCTGAGGTCCTCGTGTGGGAGAGGCCCATTCTCATTATTGGAAGGCAGGTTGAAACCCATAATTTTCCATGAAAACAAACAAATGCATTTTTTTCCAAGGCTGCTGGTTCGACCTAGTTTGCCCTTGGATCTGTTTGGTCCAGACAAAAAGCCATGGCCCCCAAAAGGTGAGCCGTCGACTTGTTTTGGTGTTCGGGCAACTGATTTCTCTACCTCCATTTGCTTAAGAATACATGTTTTTAATTTTCCCTTGCCGGTTTTAAAAGGAATTCATCACTACTGCATTTTTTTTTTAATTTTTCCCTGGGGCCTGCACCAAATCAAAGTCTGTGGAGCACGGTCCATCCGTTAGGCGGGCCGTGCCGCTGGCGCTGGCGATTCTGCACTTGTCCAATCCCAAGGCGCCTTTGGAGGGCGAAGTGCTGGTGGAGCCTTTGATTTCTACCTATCTCCAGAGTGCCCCCCCCAAGCGGCGTGTAGAGGCCTAAACAAATAGAATGGGGTTGTGAGTACCTGGAGTCTCCATGACCCTTTAAAATTTGTTGATCATTACCCTAAATAATGGGGTCATGACTCCATTTTTAAAGGGTCACGGAGACTCAGGTAGTCAGTTGTCCCTTTCCGGTCCATTTGGCCATGGCCCCAATTTTATAGGGGTTCTTCACCCGGGACTTTCAATGTTGTAGAGGTTGATGTTGTTCCACCATTGCTTGTTTGCTTTCCAAAACAGGCCCCTATTTCCTGAAAAGATGCGGGAAGTTGCCACTGGACATGTTACTTTGGGAGTGGACGGCATGTCCATGATTTAAAAGGATTTGATTGGATACCATCACTTTAACGCAGCTGTGGCAATGTGAAAAGGCAGCCTAGAACTGTAGAACTCTCCTTTTAAGCCCTTCGGCCCTCAAGCAAAGACTTCCAGAGCGGCCGCTTGTCATTTCGCCTTTGAGACGATGTGGGCCACCAAAATGGTGGCTAGAAGTCGCAGGGTCTAAAAAGAAAGCCCGATGACCAACCGTTGGTTTTACAGAGCCACCTGAGCTGAGTCTGATTCACTGATCGCAGCTCTTAGGTTCGAACAGAAACAAAGACTTATTTGGGAGGTCCAGGCTTGATTGGCTTACCTCTTAGAAACACAACTTTTCAACTTTTTGGGGGTAACATGGGCCATATGTCTGTAAAAGATGAGCACTTCCCCCGGGCGTGCTTCGAGTTTTCAGGGGTAAGTTGGCGGGCCATGCCGTTTTCCACCCCCCGAGGACTCCAAAAATCCTCCAGTCAAGGAGCTCCCCTTTCCCGGGGCAACTTGCGCCGGCCGCATGTTGGGGGGTGCTTTGGAAGGGAACCCAAATTTGGCATTTTGGGGTTCCCCAAATTTTGGGACAAGCGTTTTGTGCCATCCTTCAAGAGTTTTTTTTTGTTTTTCCAGCGCCTGTTTTGGGAAAAGGACCGTGAAGGACATAGCTCGGCTTGATCCATTACTGTAGGAGTCTTGCGCCGAAGCCTAATATACTAGCATGCTGAAAGAATCTCAGTTGTTGAGTGGCACCCTTTTTCCCTTGTTTTGGTGGCTTCCTCACCAAAAATGGTCTTCCCAAAATAGGGTTCCCTTTGTTTTCTAGGGTCACTGCACAACTGAGGCATCTGTAGTTCTTGCCTGCCAGCTGGGGATGATCAAACGCACGCACGAGCAACCAGGTCCTTTTTCCCCCCCCCCCCCCGCCTCCAAACCGCCAGGCCTCAAGCCAAAGCGATGCGCAAGTTGGAGGTTTGTTGTCTGAACTTTGGTGCACTTTGCCAAGGGCTGTTAGGACTGGATAACTTTTGGCCAACGAATTTGGGTTTTCCGAACTAAACCCCTAAAAGTTAGTCGCTTTTAGCAGGGGAGCAGATTTCGCAACCGAGTGAACACATCAAACCATGTCATGATATTTTTGCGGGCCATGCAATCCCTTCAAAGCTTGGCTACCTTGCGGCGGTGTTTTGCTTGTTCGCAGCGCAGGGGGGGGATGAGTTGCACCCAGCCCGGTGGCAGGTGCTGGTGATCGACACTCTGTCCAAATTGTCCCACGATGCAGACCAGGACATATTGGGGACACGTGCATGAGGGCTGCAACTCACGCTGTTGGCTCAAAGGCCGCAGTTTGCTTTACTCACTTCCTGAGTTCATGGACTTTACAACTTCTTGGAAAGACCATTTTGAAAATGTTCAGACTTTGTCCCCAACAGCTGAAAGCTTTGGGGTCTCAGCCCAGAAAGGCTCCGGGGTGGTCCGGGCAGCCCTGAGGTAAGGTTCCACGAAGGTTCCGCCAGGGTTCCACCAGAGTTCCACCAGAGTTCCACCAGAGTTCCACCAGAGTTCCACCAGTGCCACCAGGGTTTCACGAGGGTTCCACGAGGTTCTGCAAGGTGGTGCGAGCACTAAAAAGAGCACCGCATGCTGTTGGGGATATCACCTGAGCTTATTTGTCTGGCCAGTCCACTCAGGAAGCGATTTTAACAGTGACCTATAGGCATGATGATGCGATTTGCAAACGGACTCTGCGATGTGGATAATGGGGCCTCCCACTTTCGGCAAGTCAAAAACTACCAGGACCCTTTCTAGATGCCGAGGCGTTGTTTTCTGCCACGGCCTGACGTGAAAGGGGGTCAAAAATAGGGGCCCTCTTTCGTACCGTGGATTGACAAAATCCTGCACCACCTCAGAAACCACGATGATGATTCTCTCTAAAATACCACGAGCACTGGTTTCGACCATGGTTTCATTTCGTGGTGCGAAATGGATTTCGTCCATCCACAGTCTGCCGCCTTAAAAGAGGCCGTCTTCCACGGCGCCGAAACGGGGCCAATCCGGTGGCGCCAGGACGTGGCCACAGGGGCGATCATGAGCATGGGCCTGATAGGTGCCTTGCGCAAGCCATCTGCAGAATTTGCTTCTACACTTCTGCGGGTCGGCATGACCCCCCTCAACAAAAAGAAGGCCTCCAGAATGAGGAATCCGATCTTGCGGGCGAAGGGCGATGTTGGTTGCTTCAAATGGCAGTGGCTCAAAAAACCGGTACCAAAATGGAAGCCTGGTAAGTGGAAACATGGACCAAACCCTGCGTAACCCCTCCTGCTTAATTTTGAGCCACACCCAAATAATTTCCACACGATCGAAACGGTCCAGAGGTCGTTCCATACCCGTTGAAATGAGCTGGGGCCCTTTGCCTTTGATCCCATTCTTTCAGGGCTTTCAGGTTCCAATCCGACTGTATGGCTGTGGCTCAAAATTAAACAGGGGTGACGCAGGGTTTGGTCCAGGTGTCCACTTACCAGGCTTCCATTTTGGAATTCCGTTTTTTTGAGCCACAATATATACCCCTTGGAATATTTGGGATCAAACAATCGAAGTTACAGATTCCATTTGCGAGCATCCAGGATCAACGGCTCCTCACTCATCTAGATCTGGATTTGTTGGTTTCGACGGTGTGTCGGCCGCCGGCGCTTTTTTATAGCGGCTGCCACTTGGAAGTTCTCTCTGACAGGTGCCGGCACCAACAACGCGAGACTCGCAGGCTTGCTGAGGCGCTCCCTGTTTGCACGACCGCGGCCTCCCTCAAGACACACACGCGGACCCTTGTCACTGCCGCATTTCTGTTGAAACGGCAATTAGGCTTGAGAACAGAAATGACAAAGCACCTTTGAAAGAGCATTAAATGGCATTGGCTGGGGATTCACGCTGCTTTTTTCAGATCTGCCGTCTTTTTCCAACCTACCCCAATTTGCAATGCCGCATCGGCGCATCGGCGCATCGGCATTTACGCCTTGCGCCAGGCAGTTGGCAGCTTACTACGCGAAGGACCCGAACGCGCTGTTCATGGTCAGAATCGCCCAGGGCGCAGCCCTGAGAGTCTCACTTCGTAACTCAGCAGGTTTCACCCCAAGCCATGAAACCTGACTGATCCCTGGAAACCATCTTCCTCTTGGGGCCGTCTCGTGTGGTCCATGCGAGTGGATGCTTCTAACATATCTCATTTGGGCCTGGAGATTCCAATGCCGAGGAATTCCGAGGCGTTCTGGTTCTTGCGTCCAAACAAAAATCAATGCCGAGAATGACTCGGAATCTCCTTGACGTTTGAATCTCATTTGGGGGGTGAACAACTCGGGCTCTAAGCAGATTTGAATGGGGATACTTGACAAACCCAGACCTCCACCGGCCCCGTTTTACCGGCCACTGGAGGTTTGGGAAATGGTTGGTGCACATCGCAAAGTCTTCAGGGGTACCTTCCATTTCCATTCTGAACTTAGGGAGCCGGATCTTTCTAGAAAACCTCCGGAAACCCTGGGAAAACGGATCCTTTTTTTGAAAAGAAGGTTGGTTGCAAGAATGGAAAAGGAAGCAACCCCTGGAAAAGTAAATGTTACATTGACCTTCACCCAAGGTTCCCAATTACAACTCAGACCGGATGGGAGTGTCTTGATATGTCTTGATGTTTTTGGTGCCCTTTAGGGGGTGTAAGGGAACTGCCCGCCTTGAGGGTTCCCGCGTTTAGAAAGGGAATCGCGTTTAGATCATGTCTCAGCTTCCACATTCAATATGTGGATTTTCCCTATTGGCTTAGAGGGAAGCTATCACTGGACATATTGATGTTTTTTTGTTTGTTTTTTGGTCTAGGGGACTTAAGTGAAGCAAATGGAGGTGAGTCTTTTCCCGTGCTGAAACTCCAGAATTAGCACGTTGTTAGAACTCATTTGGGGGTGTCGCTTTTTGAGGAGTCGCCTTCTTTGTGGTAAAGGGAAGACACCACGTTTTTGAGTATTTTTTTTTGTGGTAAAGGGAAGACACCACTTTGGTGTGTTTTTTTCTTTGTGGTAAAGGGAAGACAACACTTTTTCTTTAGGGGCTCTCCTAAAAAGAAGACCAACCCATAAGATGGTCGCTTAAAGCCTTCCCGAACACGAACGATCGGGTTGCCCAACTTGAGAGCTGTCGGCGCTGTTCGCTGTGGTGGTGGTTTGGACCCAGCAAACGTGGTTTCCTGTGTCCCTTTCAGCCAACCTGAAAAGGGTACCATCAATAAAAGACCCACAGATGTTGATCAAATCTGGGGATCCGCTGCAGTGAAGACAAACCAATGCACTCTTGCTTGTGCAATGCGGGGTGTTTTTTTTTCCAGCAACCATGGCTGTGTCGCTCATTTGTCTTCACTGTTGGCGCGTTTTAACTTTTTGTTTGTCCTGTTCATGTTTTGTAGGGGAGCTCCCAACGACTTTCTTTTTCAGACCAAGGGCCGTGTCAAGAGGATTCTTGAGAAGAGAAGGGCTCGCGGAATCCGGAAGATCCGGAAGCCGAGGTTTGCTCTACATGGGCAAGGGCCTGCTCACCATCAATCCCCTGTTTAGCGATCGTGCCTTGGCTCGGAGGGATCGGCTCTGGGTCAGCAGAAGGCTCTGGAAAAGGATCCTTTACCTCCATTTGCTTAAGAATATGTTTTCCCTTGATGGTTTTAAAAGGAATTCATCACTACTGGATTTTGCTTTTTGCCTGGGGCCTCAACCAAATGGAAGTTTGTTGGTTTCACGTTGACATGTTTTGATGTGTTGCTCCTTGTTTGTAAGTGGGAGCCAACCCACAGATGCTGGCCTGGTGGTGGACCCTTTGGCTTGTTTCGGACAGGAAGTCGGTTGGAAGCAAATGGCCATATGTACCAGGGGCTACCTCTTCTACGGGGGAGGGGTCCTTTGTGTCAAAACCAGCAAGGCCACCATATGGCCACCCAATCGTTTTTTTCTTTACTCAAAACGATTAGATTGTCAGGGTTTAATCCATTAGGACAGCCATTATTTATTGAAGATGTTAAGCCATTACGATTCTAACATTTGAAGTTTTTAACATTTGAAGATTTAAGCCATTGAGACGTTAAGACTTAAAGCCATGTCGAGGTTAACACGGCCCTTAAGATGTCAATATTGCAAGCCATTACTACTTTAAGAGTTTCAGCCACTAAGATGTTGACGCGTTAAGCCGCTAATATTTTAAGATTGTAAGCCATTTAGATTGCAGAATTTAATTTATTCAGGTGTTTAGGTGTTCAGTCAGTAATATTGTAAGCTTTTAAGCCATGCATATTTTAGCACGCGAAGCCACCAGGATATTAATATGTTCAGCCATTGCGGCTTTTAGATTTTCAGCCATTAAGACGTTCAGACTTAAGCCATGAATATTTTTACACGTTAGGCCACTAAGTTTTAAGCCCTTAAGCTTTCTCAGATTTTAAGCATTAAAAGTTAAGGTTGCAGTTGATTCTCTGCGCTCCTTTTGGCCAACATGTCATCCAGACAATGCCAGCAGCATGGCGATGTTGTGGAGGAGCTGCCGAGGATGCAAAATCGGACCCGGGGGAATCGATCGCCCCAAGGTTTTTCTGCAACCGTTTGCGCAATACCCCCTCGTATGAAAGGATTTAATCTACGAAAAGGAGCATGTCTTATTTCCAACACGATGTTTGTTGTCGGCAGATAAGCATCTAGCAGTGATAGATTGCCTTCAAACCAAGGCAAGTCAAAGATATTCTTAAGCAAATGGAAGGACACGTCCGAAGCAAAGACTTTGAAAGAACCAAACACCACCGTTTCGAACCACAACGGCGTCGCAACCAAGTGTCAACTGAAGTCATGGCCGAATGGCCCACAGGCACTTGTCTCTGGGGAAGTTCCGCTTCTGTTTGGGGAAGGAAAACAATCCCAGGTCCCTTGAGGTGCCCCGGGATCGGAATCCCAAGCTCGGGCCAGTTCAACCCTTTGGTTCGTTTCGAGGGAAGCCGAGTTGACATTTTTCGGAGGGGTCCTAGTTGACACACCCGTTTTCGGGTGTGTAGAAAGAGCGAGGGACATACGTTCAGATAAATCAATAGGTACGAACTCCACAAAACAGGCCCAAACTGAGCGGGGTTGGGTGCTTTGCCAAGATACGCTGATCAGGGAGAAGACTGTGGCTAGTTATTGTTGCCCCCATATATGATAAGGACCTCTCTTTTCGAGTGTACCGTTTTGGAGATTTGTTTTGAACGAAAGCCAAATGGAGACTCACCTGTCTCTGGGGTGTACCCTTTCTTGGACCATTGGAGTGGTGTTTTTCCAATGTCCACTTGGGGGTCCAACTCCTCAAAAAAGGATACGACACGCCCTGGAAAACGCCGAAAGCCGACGAGCGGTTCCGACCCGCTAGGTTTCCTGGTGGATCCGGTGGCCTTTGGGTCCTTGACGGTGCTGGCGCCGGCCTCGGTTCAGTTGCCGGCCAGCTGGGAAAATCATGGGACGTGTATTTCCTTCCCCCGACCATGCGCTTGGTTGTTTCATAGAAAGCAAATGGCCCCAATCATTTTTCAGGGTCCCTGCTTCAAGTCGTAAGGCTTTTTTGGAGTATCGTGCCATGTTGAAAAGAACATATGGCATAGACATGAACCATAATTTCCTGTAAGGGGAATGACACCATGAAACCGCCGGTTGGGTGAATGTAACCACTATTATTTATGTAAGGATGTTCATCCAAATTGGGTCCTTGCCATTCTTTTAAGGGGGGGGGTGCTTAGCTTGCTGGTTCGATAGGCAGGGAATGAGAAATGGAATGACCCCGATTTAAACCATCCATTGCGGTTTCCTTTAAGGGAAACCCCAGGTTCACTCCCTCATTCCCCACTGAGCACCAGCAAGTTAACATCAAAGTCCACAACCAAGGTTCGATCCCTTCAAGTCCAGCAATAAAAAGCAAGGAACAGGATGGGTTTGAACAAGCCAAAAGAACAACCACTGGCTTTGGCCTACAGTGCATGGCCTGTCGCTTGAAAGGGGAATCAAAAGAAAACAAAAACGCTAGCAGGCCAAGATGAGTCTGGCTCTGGGTGTTTCTCAAAATCGGGGGGTCCCTTCTTGGAGGGCTTCAACAGACACGGACTTGTGCACATGGAAGGCACTGGCGCGGTGGTCTCAATATTGACTTCTATTAGGTGAAATGGGCATGAATTTTAATCAGGGACCCTCTGGTGGACATCATTTAGGTGGGGTGTTATGTCCACCAACCACTTTCCAGGGGGGGCCTTTATTTAAATTAATGGCCAAAAGTTGATGGAATATGTTTATTTCCCCTTGTTGGTTTTAAAGTTTGTTCTTCACTACTGGAAAACATATTCATTTTTTGAAGGGGGCGAAAAGGCAAATGGACGTTTGTCATATTCTAGGGTTGTGGAGGACATGGGGCGCGCAATCCCCCAAACAAGCCATCGGGACATGGGGATTACTAGTCCATCAAAATCACATGTCGTTGGGGGATACTGTCTCTCATTTCTGTGGCATGGTCCTGTTGAGGATTTACCATGAAGCTGCGGCGGATGCCCCTGCCAGACACCCACGACACACCCGACCATGCTAAATCTCTTATTTTTTGGGTTTGGACTATCCCAGTGATTCCATTTCACACCAGTAGGTAACCAAGTTGGAACTGCCCTTCAAAAAGCCAAAACAAGAATGGCGAAGGGTTTACCAGTATAGTGGTGACTGGGATCTACTGGGCATATGAGTGGAAAGTAAAAAGGTTGGATACTGTTGTTTGCCAATCCACGCGATCGAAAGGTGAGTAGTAGATAGGGGGGCTCCCTCGTTCACCTCACCATAAGGTGTGATCCCGCGGCAGTATCTACCCATGCATGAAGGCGTTGTTAAACCTTGCCTTCAAAACCACCTCTTAAGATTCCGGCCAGGACCCATGTCTGAAACCATCCATGGCTGTCAGGTTGTCAAATTGGCTCATTCCCAGAAGATTCTGACAATCCTGGTAAAAAGGTGCAAGAAATCAAACAAAATGCAACTCCAATTGTGGTCAGTCATATTCGACTGTAGTACCTGCAGTTGGATTTGGGTGATTTGCTCTCCCGAATGATCTGAAGTGTGGTACGGGATCCTCGTGTCCCGTGATAGAAATTCCTCGAAGGCACATTCCGTGCTGCACCTCAAGCGGCTGGCTCGAGAGTTATTTTCGCGCTCTTTCGCGTTTTCGGGTGATGGTTCGAGTGGGGGCCTTGTACCTGGAGTCTCCGAGTCTACCCCGAATCACAGATGAGCCACAATCAAAACCCGGGTAGATGAAGGTTAGTAAGGGACGATCCCAGCCAGAAATAGTTGCAGCCGCCTTCTTAATTCTTGAAGCATGGTTCTGGGTCGACCATTTGTGTACCAGGTTTTGAGCAAGTGACTCAGATGGGTTTATAACCCTTTTTGGGAAATGAGGTCATCCGTGTTTAAGGGTCAGAAGGAGACTCCAGGAATTGGAATTCAAAAGGGTATGGATCAACATTCGACCAATGGACTGCATGTGTTCTTCCATGTTGCCATTTTGCCAGGCTTCCATTTGGGGTACCTATTTTTGACCACCCAAAAAACGAAGGGCTTCTCAAGCTTTCTTCCAGGCCTTGGGCCAAATTGCAAGTTGCCTATCCTGGCTTCGGAGAGGATATGGGTGCTTTTGTTGGGTTGTTACCCTCCATGGTTTTCGGTTTTGTTGATTTCTCTCAACCATGGCAAAAAAGGGGTAGCAAGCCTCAAACGACGCATATGAAAGGATCCTCTTGAAATTATTGGCAATGGTGTTGTGAATTGGGAACGAGGGACATCCGATTCAATTTCGGCTCTGCCTAAATTACTGTGAACTTGGGGAGAGGGGCGAATTCGCCACAGGGAAGGGGGAACGGCATGTTCACATAACACAACTTGTCCTTTGTGTGTTAAAGGCTTTTTGACAACCCAAAAGGGGAGCTGGCAGGTTGTAACCATTTCGTGTGGAGCTTTTTTCCCAAAGTGGTTCACCCCCCTCCCGTCTCTCGGACGTTTTCTTTTTTCTCCTCCGAGAAGCGAGAAAGCGCACGTAGACAGGTACTGGGGGGAGCGTCGGGCATATCTAGCCGCCCAAGTCAAGATTTCGGTCATTTGTTTTCCCATTGACCTATGTTTGGCTCTGCGTCCTAGCGATTCGTGAAGGCTAAAGCTTTTCTGCTGCGAGAGGATCCTCATTCTTCCCTGTTCGTCAGGTGAAGCATTGCAGCTTCGCGACCATTCAAAAGCCTTCTGGGCGGGAAATAGTCTGGATGGACGAATTCCTGCACCACTTTGAAACCATGGGAAACCACTGTTTGTTGGTATTTACAAAGGAATCATCATTCCCGATTCTCTTAGGCGGTGCAGGATTTCGTCCTTCCACAGTATGTGTGGGTCTTGTCCGTTGAGAGTACCCTGCTTGGAAGCTGGAAGGACACCATCCTTTGGGGTGTTCCCCCATTTTGGAGACACAGGCCTCCAAAGCTTTTTTGTTTGGGGTAGACAAAATATGAAGCTGAGTCTGAACATTGTATTCTTTGTGTACCCCAGATGATGCGGGCCACCATGACCCAAAATAAAGATTCGGGTCATGGACACATCTTCAATTCGGGTCAGAAGGAGACTCCAGGTATATTTGCATATACCTATAAGGAGATAGATACACACATATGTACGGACCCCTGGTATCCCCACCCCCTTAAAGATAGAATTTATTGTGAAGACTGGATAAATGGAATTGAGACCCTCCCCCTTGCAGCGGGGGTTTCCTGGTTTCCAAGGAACACCATCTTGGGCAAGAGCCACTACCTGCTGTACCATGTGGTGCCGGCAATGCGTCCAAGATGGCTGATTACTGTTGACGAGGACGCGTGTTTGTTCCCTGTCTCACCTTCAAGGATTTCCGTTTCGGACTTGAGTCCCTTGGGGTTGGACCATGTTGGCGGATTGGCCAAACAAAATAACCAAACTTGTGTTTGCCACTCATGGAGTGAGTTGTTGGTCGATGGTCAATACTTGAACATACTAGTTTGGTTTGGAGCAACAGCTGAGATAGTTTGGAACACCCTCAATTGCCAATGATTTCCTCACTTCCCGACTTCTGACATCATACTCGTCGGGCAGGCCATTTTAGTGGCAACCAGACAGCTTGGACTTGTGCGGGTCCTTGCTCCAGCAGCCGATAATTTTGAGCATTAGATGCCATGTATGGAGCTGGCACATACCTCAGGTATCCCACATGCGTGGTTTCCTTTGGTTTGCCAGTATGTGCGTTTCAAGGAAACCAATCCGCAACTCACCAAGCTCCTGGGTGAAACTTCTCAGGGACCCCAAATTGGAATGGCTCGAGTCAGTCGCTTCGCTTCGGCGCTTTGCGCAGGAGATGAACGAGCTGAAAGTGCCCGTTCGCGTGGGTCAGGCGGTGGATGCCGCGCACTCAGCGAAAGAAAAAGCGGCTTGGGATTCGTTGGTCGAAGCAGATGTCTCAGTGTTTTTTTCGGCACCCGTGTTCCTTTTCCGACTTTTGTTTGGTGGCAAAAACCACTAAACATGTTGTCCAGTCTCCGAGTCTGACCCTTTAAAAATAGGTCCGGACTGACCCCATTATTGAGGGTAATGACCTAATTTTTGAAGGGTCATGGAGACTCTAGGTGGAACTTCGGCGGGCGTGGGGGGAGGGGTAGGTGGGGGTAGGAACAAGGGGTCATGGAATTCTAGGGGGAAGCCCCAAAATATGAGGGCCTTGAACCGAGGGAGGGTTCATGGACACGTAGGGAAAGGTTATGGGGGGGGGCTATCCCTGGATAAGCCCGGGATAAGCCAAGGATAAGCCCTTAAGGCCTTGTTAAGAGGTTAACAATGGGCAGCCCCGCGCTTGGAACGAGGGGTTTAAACAACCAAGCCCGGCCCCGTCTTGTTTTTGTTTTCTTTTTCAGGGAAGCCAAGATGACCGGAGGGCCCTTTGCAGATTTGGGTGTCCTGAACACTTGCCTAAGCTTGTGTTCATTTTTGGAGACCCCGTCCCCCCCCCGCCCTCAGAACACATGCGTTCCTTTTGTCTTCCCGAACCCAAAAGCGGCACACAATGCAAGAGATGCCCCCCACCAGGGTCAGGAGAAGCAGTTGTTTCGCGGAGGGCACAAGTTTGCCCCCAAAACACTGCTGCACGATGAATCCTTTTAGCACGCCCGAAGAGCATTTTACCAACAGTTTTAAAAACCTATAAGTCTTCTCCAGGGTGACGGAGAGTTGTGATGTGAAGACAAGGTAGGCAGTGGTTTGATCTGCTGGAATGGTGGTCTTTGGCTCCTGGAACGAGTTGCAATGTTCAAGTTTGTTTCTGGTGTCAGCTCCAGGGACCTACGCGAATCCATCCGCTGAGTTGTGGGAAAGGAACCTTTGCAACTGGGACCCAGGTCCCAAGCCGTCCCAAGCCGAAAACGGGAAAGCCGGCAAAAGCCCATGCTGTCAACATCTGTGGGCGTTCAGTGCGGCCGTCACCGGTGTTTCGCCACGGTCCCACACAAGCCATGTAATATATATATATATATATTATATATATACCCACATTTGACCAAGGGTAAAGGTGGCGAATATATTGCACTACAGTGGGATTGTTTGGCCCGCTTGTTCAACACCGGATCCCCAATGATTAGCGGATTGCGGGTTTTGCGGTTTGCAGCTTAGACATGCGGTATGCATTCATGCGGCATGCGGATTAAGCATTCTCAATTGCATAACAGTCCCATGCTTGCGGTGTTGACCCACAATTTGGAGCGAAGCTTATTGATTATACATATTTTTACCAACCAAACAAGGATTAAAGTGGATGGATTGTGATTGGACCCCGGTGGATTTCGATCAGGCTAGATTGGGATAGATTTCCATCAGGCTAGTTTGGGATACTTTGCCTATAGCGCCGGACAAAAGGTGTTTTTTAAGCGGACCCCCCCCCCCCAACCCCCCCCCACTCTTCCCCCCCCTCCCCGCAGCCACCAAACCCCCCAACCCCCCCCCGCCCCAATCATAAACCATAACAATCCGCCAAACACAAAAGCACCAGGGACGTTGAGACGGATCTATCAACCTATAGTTCGGTAACCGCCTCTCCTTAAAAGAGCCCACAACCCGCAAGCCCACCAACCCAGCCAGAAGCTCACCAGCCCACCCGCACCCACCGAATTCTCCCTCGCAGGTCACGGGCATGGCGGGCCGCCCGAAGCAGATCACGGGGTTCCAGACCCGCACCACTCCTGTGCTCCTCAACTTCCAGGACCGCAGAAAGCGGAAATCGCGGGGAAAGACTCGATCCCTTCCATCTGCTTAAGAGTTGTTGTTCTTTTTTTATGTTTCATTTATGTTTTCCCTTGTCGGTTTTAAAAGGAATTGAATGGAAGCTGCGGTTCCGCAGAAACAATCGAAACAGCGCCCCCCCCCAAAAAAGGTGGGACATGAGATGGACCTATGTTGGGTTCCCCCCCACCAACTCAACAGGTGAGCACCAGGGTGCCCAAGGCGCAACTTGTTCGCCGAAAGAAAAAAAAACAAAACGAGGCGGTGCCCCGAAAAAGAGTCGGGCATGAAACGAAAGTATTAGGTATTAGGCACCCGCCCCCAACAATGAACCAAAAGGTGATCACCGGTTGTTTTCGGGGTTCCCAAGGGGCAAGCTTTGCATTTGTCCTCCGTACTACTGTGGATGGAAGTGGGTACCCCCCACCAATTCACACGGAACCTGACGTTGAGGGGCACGGTTCGGACCTAAAGGGAGGTCCGAACGTCAGGTTCCTAGTGTGGATCCTGGTTTCCGATGATTCGCCCTGTGAATAACAATATCTATAATATCAATATGGCTTCCATGGTTTCAAAGTGGTGCAGGTATGGAAATATTGGGTTTTTCCGAGGACCCAGTAGGGAATGACCTTCCGAGTCCGGGTGGAAACAAACAGCAAGGGGTTCCCGAAGAAAGGAAACAATAGGACGGAGGTTTTTGTAGGGATCATTCCAATTCTGATTCCCTGAGGAAACATGCGATTTTACTGGATGAAAACGGTGAAGTTGGGATCTCTCTTGAATCATACATTGTCACTTCGAGGTTCACGAAATAAGGACCATCAATGGACTCAATGGGCCAACATTGATTGCGAAAGAGAAAGGGATGGAGCCTGCGGCCAGTTGCACAACTTGTGAAACCACAGCGCGGTTTCAAGAGAAAGCAGGTGGGTGTGCCTTCTTTCCGACTTTTGGGGCTTCCAGTTTTGGCTGAAAGGGAAGTTAAGAAGGAGCACGATTTAGACACACCCCAAATGGCTACGAGGGATTTATCCAACTTATAAAAGACAAGCACACACGAAACCGACGGACCGCAAGGCAGAAACCGCGTGAGACGCAATGCAGGGTTTCGATGGGTTTTGTTCCTCCGCATTTGATGCTGCGGCCTCGAGTCCGAAAAAGCTCCGCTTCGTTGGCAGGACAGGGCCGAGTTGGCCACAGAGGAATACCTGCCTGTGACTCCGGGCACCATCTTGGAGGCGTCGGCCTCAAGTTCGGAGGTTGAGACCCTCCGGTCCAAGGTCAGAGAGAGAGAGAGATAGAGTTTTTTTGGGGGTTGAGGGTAATGTTGACCCCATATTAATCAACCTCAGTTTGTTAATAAGGGGTGTGCGATTCTGGGTTTCGCGGGAAATCATTGCGGTTGATAAACTGGGGTTGATTTATATGGGGTCAACATTGCCCCTCCCTTTTTGGTCGAAATCCATTTTGGAGCTGTCCTCATTTTAAGATGCGCTTACATTTTTTTGGTTAGAGCGGTTTGAATAATCTTTCCTTTTTGGGCTGAGCTTCCTGTGATAATGTGAATGTGGGGAACCGCGGTCATGGTTTTGACTGGGGTTAGTCAGAAACTGGGCCGAAGGGGGTTCCTTCCCTTGAGCTGAAGGGGGGGTTCCTTTCCTTGAACTTAAGGCCTGCCAGCAGGGCTCCACTTTTTGACTGCCCCAAGATATATTTAAACCCAGGGTGTCTCCTTTTGGGAGAATGCACCACCCCTGGTTTAAGTCTACACTTGGGTAGTCAAAAAGTGGAACCCTGCCTGCCAGTCTTCGATTGAAGGCGCTTTAAGAGCTGTAGAGAAAACAAAGACCAAGGGCAAGACCAAGCCACAAAGAAAACACCTATCTACACTTTGGCGCATTTTGCGAAAGGATGTTAGGACTTTAACTTTTTGCCCACGAATTTGGGTTTTCCAGTATTAAAACCACTGAAAGTTCGTCACTTTTAGCAGGGCTTCGCAGATTTCGCAACCGAGGTATATAACTGAGCATTGAGCTACAGGTGAGTATGTTTGTTTGTTTGTTTGTTTGTTTGTTTGTGGCTCGGTCGTCCTGTAAACGCGCGCTTTTTTTGGTTCTTTCCCCCCTGTAATGGCCGCAAAAACGCGCAAATCATATGGTTTTTCACAGGTTTCGTGCATGTCCGGCCACTACCACGTAAAACGCGGGAATTATATGGAAATTCACACTCACGATAGGCACGCCCGCTCAAGTGCACCCGCGCAGCACTGCATCCATGCCAGCCAAATGGTAAGAACACCCGTTCAAGTGCACCCGCGCAGCACTGCATCCATGCCAGCCAAATGGTAAGAACACCCGTTCAAGTGCACCCGCGCAGCACGGAATCCATGCCAGCCAAATGGTAAGAACACCCGTTCAAGTGCACCCGCGCAGCACGGAATCCATGCCAGCCAAATGGTAAGAACACCCGTTCAAGTGCACCCGCGCAGCACTGCATCCATGCCAGCCAAATGGTAAGAACACCCGTTCAAGTGCACCCGCGCAGCACGGAATCCATGCCCGCCGAATGGTAAGAACACCCGTTCAGGTGCACCCGCGCAGCACTGCATCCATGCCGGCCACATGGTAAGCACGCCCGAACCCACATCATCCAGTTCGCCACGAAACGGCTCCATGACAAGCCTGGCTTGGTGCCTCTTTTGCAGTGCTTCGCTCGCTACCGAAATGAGCGAAAGAACGCTCTGGGCTTCAGTCCCAAGGACTGGTGCGATTTTGATGAAGACAATGCTTGGATGCGAAGTTGAAAATGCAGGTACATGCCTGGGTGCTCTTTTTGATCAGTTTGCATGAACGATGGGATGGTTTCAGGCGCCCTGAGCCGGCACCATCTTTGCTTGCCAGAGAGGCACTTGACCAACTTGCTCGAAACCCGGGTAGAAGAAAGTTAAGGGATAATGCCAACAAATTTAATGGGTGGGGGTGTCAGCCTTTTTAATTCTGTACATGGTTCTGGGAGTGCGACCATTTAAATAACAGGTTTTGATTTGGAGTCACCTAAGGATAGGCCGTGCTCTTGCAGTTCCACTCGGACATCCGGCCCACCCTTTGCTGGACTTGCTCGAAACCTGTGAAAAACCATATGATTTGCGCGTTTTTGCGGCCATTACAGGGGGGAAAGAACGGAAAAAAAACGCGCGTTTACAGGACGTCAGAGCGTTTGTTTGTTTGTTTGTTTGTTTGTTTGTTTTTGTTGTTCTTCTTTTGTATGTTTCTTCTGCAGATCAGAGTTGGTCGGATGTACATCCATTCCCTGACCCAAAGAAGCTCAGCGCCAACTTCCGAAAGCGGGAAGGGCAAGAATCGTATCAAGTCACGGGAAGGCGAGTGCGGCAATCGGGGCATGGCCAGCACTCGTCCTGAGCGCCATAAAAATTATCCTGGCCATTTGGAAGTGAAATTCTCTACCTGGGCTTAGGACTTCTTCTTTTTTGGCACAAGTCAGCTCGGGTTTTGGGCACTCCCTTTTTCAGTCGAGAGTTTTCGGAATGAAGGAGCGGGGAAGGACACCTTTTGGTTTAAGCTGTTTTTTGGCCCAGTGGTTCCACAAGTTGACCTGAACGTTATTTTCCAGGTTCGCACACCTTCCGGCGCCTTTCGACTTTCAGGACTTCGTCATCCTCAAGAAGAACCCCAACTACAAGCCTGCCACAGCAGGTGCTTAGGGACCGCACAGCTTTTCAGCCAGGCCGGAACCAACACATCATACAGAGCACACCCAACATTTGGGCTTCCATGTGTCAAGCGCAAAAGAGCAATCAGCAACAGATTTATACGAGCATGGGTGTACGACTGCCTTACAGCTTTGCTGGGCAAGCAGAGAGAAACACACTTGGCGATCGGTGAAGGGCTCCTAACACGGAACGCGCATGGAGTCGCTCACTTAGCTCTAGGATTCCAGCTTTCCAACCGTCTCGGGCTGGCTGAGTCTCCCCACGGCAGTTCAACAATATGGCAATTGTGTGTTTCGACACCTGGGACGGTCGTTTGAGACTAGCTGACAGAATATCCCAAAACCACGGACCTGGCTTCAGCATATAAACGGCCATGCACATGTTGGGGTTTCTGATGCCCTATACACATAAATACATATATCTTAACAGGCCTCCTTAAAAGATACATTTTGCAACCAATGGAACCATGTTGCTTTTTCTTTTCAACGCCAAAATGAAAGGCAACCACCATTTACAAGTTGCAATGTTCAGGTGTATAATGCATCCGCATCCCTGCTTAATACACAGATGCAGGCGTTTGTGGGAGACTGGCTGGGCACTCGATAGTGTCTCCCCTGCAGTCGGTCGGAAAAGAGGCGGCCTGCGCTGATCTTTGGGATGGACTCGTCAAGTGAAGGTGCCGGGTTTCCGTTTGTTGTAGCCCATCTAGGCCCCCAGTAGTGCCCTTGTATCCTTTTTTTGGGGAGGGTTCCCCTACTAAAATAGACTACAGAAAAAAGGGTACCCTTATTCCAACCTCTCTACTGGAGGACCTAGCCATGTAAAGACATTCGAAAAGTCCGGGTTGCTTTTTCCATACGTCAACGTGTTGACAGCATCTTGCATCGTTGGCCTTTGCCACAGGCCCAATACCTTCCAATTCAATCGACGCCCAACAGCTCTCATGGCGCGATGCAACAAATTCTGATGGCGCTGGATGGGAAGCGGTTTGAAAGTTGCCTGTGGGATTTTCTCAGGGCCTTTGTTTTTGGCTCGCTTGCTCGGTTGATGTCTATGGGCGTGAAAGCCATGTTAGTTTTCTTTTGCCACTTCCAGGACCTTTTGGGGCCATCCACTCAAGTGGGATGGGCTTGAGACTTCGGAAGATAGGGCGCCCGAAAAAGATGGGTGCTTTTTGTCCCTTGCTGGTTTCATTTTAACCTAAGACGGTTTGCCACAAGGAGGTGGTCCAAAGGGATTTTCATCGATGGCCTGCTTCAAATCCAAGGCAAGGGCAATCGCCAAAGATGATTGCAGATTCCAGCCGACTGGGGTGGCAGATTTCGGCACAGGCTTCTGATAGGTTTCTCATACTTTAGGTACCAGCAGCCCCGAACCACTGCTTTTTGGACAGCAGTTGTGGTGGGGGGGTACTGGTAGATTCCAAATCGTTTCTGAGATTTTCTCATATTGTCGCGTATGGTTTTCATAGGTATCTCGCAGGTTTGTCCTAGACTCGGCACAGGCATGTCCTAGCTCCGAGGATCATTGCTTTTAACATAAGTCTCGGAGGTTTCTCAAAATGAGAGCCACAGCACTTGGGAACGGGCAAACAAACCTGTTGACCTTTTTCCATGGTTCCTTTTTGCTCGTCCCACAAGGCCAGCCTTTTATTCCCAGGTGGGTCTCTCTTTGCGGGTTCCGTTGTTTCGGTTGGCTTAAAGGGACACCAAACGAAGCACCCACCTTTTTAGGATCCCCTATCTCAAGACACACCTAGGTCCGTTGCGCACGTGAGAGGGGAGGCATATAACCTTCACAATGTGTTGGTTTCGGTCTGGGAGTGAAGGGCATTGGGTCGATGCTTTGTTACCGTGTCTCTCTCGCTGATGGCTACTTGACACTGTGAGGCATTGCGCCGAAGAGAGAAAAAGCAGATGCTCCAGCATGACATGCGCCGTAGTCGGACAAACAATGCTGCAAGCACTCAAGCATTTGCGCTCTCCAAAAGATATCAGATGAGCATTGGATGAAACGTGCCAGCGATCAACATGTTGCCAGCCATTCGCTCCGTACGAGACACGTGCGCACTAAAGTCTCTCAGCCATGCGTCGCCTACCGCCATTGGCCCTAGAGGCACGGACACAATACTCAGTTGTTCAGTGGCACCCTGTTTCCCGTTTTTTTGGTGGCTGCCCCACTAAAAATGGTCCAAGCCCCAACAAGGGTTCCCTTCTTTTTTTTCTCCAGGGTCACTGACTCGGATTTTCACCCATGGATTTTCTATAGGAACCTCAGGACGATAGGCAGAGGTGTTTCATTTGCTGTAAGGAGCGCAATTTTGACAGGGCTCCTTAAAAGATACATTTTGCAACCATTTGAAACATGTGGCTTTTTGGACCAAAATAAAGGGACACCACCATTTACAAGGCAATGTTCAGGTGTATAATGTAAGGATCCCTGTTTGAGGGTCACCCCTTTCAGCCCGAGAAGCTGGACTTCATCATCCTTCTTAACCGCTTTTGCGCATCTGAACCGCCCAAAGCACACCGCCAGCCCTGTGGAGCAACCATACTCTCAGCCCAAAGCGAATCGACCTTTTGACCTTTTGGTTTTGCTGTTTTGGTCCATTGTTGTTCGTGAATTTCCCTTTTGACCTTTTGGTTTTTCTGTTTGGGGTCATATAGGGCGGAAAAGGTGAAGCCTTTATTTCCAGGTCCCTAAAAAAGACCTCACGAGTGCCTATGGATCAAGAGCAATGCCAACGCACATCGGAGCCGAGGAAGCAACCTTTGAAATGCACGTGTCGCCACGTGTCGAAACACCCGAAGGTTTAATCCACCGTTTGCGTCAAAAGCTAATCCGATACAATCATGGACGACAGGAAGACTTTTTAGAGCTGGTTTCAGGAATCCTGTTCTCTTTCAGGATTGAAAAGAGATACCCTCCCATCCACTCAAATGGAACCTGCTTGGCGGTATGAGGGTCCTGAAAAGCCAGTTTCCTGTGATGGTGGCTTCCATGTTTAGTGGACGGGAAGATAGTTAGAGGCTAGTGTTGAGATAATGTCGTATGTCTCAAAATATCGCTTGGCTTCCTTTTGGTTCTCCTTAAAACCACTACCCCCCCAAAGAAGAAACGCCGAGCCAAAGGACGAGCCCGTGTCGTCCGGACAGGTCCGTCAGCTCCGGGACTTGCTTCCACCAGAGGAGGACTCGGACATGTTGTCGACTGTTGATCGGTTACCCTCTCGTCTTTAAAGGAACCTACCAGAGAGAGGGGTCCGGGTTTGGACCATGTTCCTTTAAAGCGGCCCCCGGGGTAGGTTCCATATTTGTTGACAGAAGGGCAGGTGGGCTAGAAATAGATGGGTTCCACTGGTGTAGATGGGTTTTATTTCCCATTTGCCAGGGAAACCCATCTATTTGTCCAACAGGTCTGTTGGCAGCTTTCCTATTCAGGGAGTATTTCCTGCAAGCCAGCAAGAGCCCTACAAAACACAAATTTGTTGCTGCAAGCCAGCAAGAGCCCTACAAAACACAAATTTGTTGAAAACAACGATGCTTCAACATGATCGGGAACCAGCCCCTAGAAGGGTTGGCGGGTTGAAGATTTCAGGTTCGAAATCCGGGAATGCATTCATGTTGAAAGATGGGGTAGCCCAGTGTAGCCTTTTTTGTAGTGTTTTCGAAAGAAACAGTATGTGCGAGGGGTTGGGGGTGTGGGGGCGCTACTTTTTGGAGACACCCATTTGCTCGAACCTGTGGTTGTTGAAATTCTCCGCGAGCCACTTGAAAATTATTTGAGCTGCTTTCGTTTGTCGAGAATGGGGGCTCCTTGTTTGTGAACCAGTCATTTATATTTTGTCATATTGTTCCGAGGAATTGGCAGAAATTCCGGTAACCATGAATTGTTTGGATTGGTGGTTTGTGGATTTCAGCCCCCGGTTCTTGCAGAGGGTAGTAGCAAACCCCTCAACCACCGAACCACCGATTCGGCTCCAAACCACATGGAGGGAAGCTGAAGCATGGTGCGCCATATCTCCCGGCGGGTAGACGCTCTGGGCTTTATCTAATGGGAAAACCGCGGCACCTCAGAGCCGCCTTTACTTGCGATCGGTTCGATAGGCATGAGACATGGCATGACCCCGAGAAAACCCCGTCCATCCTAGGGTGTCCTTTCACTTACCGCTTAAAAACACAAAAAGTTTCTCAACTTGTTGGGTAACATGGGCTATATGGCTGTAAAAGATGAACTTCACCAGGGCTTGGAGTTTTAAGGGGTAAGTTCATCATGGTTGTTGTTGGGAAACATGTTACATTTTTGCGTATTGTGGTTTAGTGGGAAATCCCCACTGAACTGCTAAAATTTAATTTGTTGCTCCCCTTCCAACGTCAACCAAGTCCTGGAATGCCCTTTCAGTTCATTGAACGCCCGCAAGGTGAGGTCTTTTATTGCACTCATCGCAAGCTCAGGTTTTGGCAATCATTGAGGCGCAAAAACGGCAACGCTTGGGAGCTAGGCCTCACGAAGTTGCCCCGAAAGGAAACCAGAGGCCGGGTAGTTGTTCCTTTCTTTTTGTTCCCAGAGATTTGAGCGCCCGACAATCGGAAACCTCGAGAAACTCAGTTTAGCCATCCCCACCCTTGGAGATAGTGAAGGACTGTAACCAAATAAAGGGAGTACGTACCTTCTATGTTAGTACAAGTAATTATTCTGTAATGTTGACCCATATTAATCAATCAACCAGATCAACCAGTTTAAATCGGGGGTGTCCGATTCTGGGTGAAATGTGGTTGGAATCAGACCAGTTTTGGGGCAAAACCACCCCGAATTTGACAAGCTGGTGGGTTGATTAATATGGGGTCAACATTATGCATGAGGGGCTAGTCACTAAGTCGCTGGGGTGGGCCAGTAGGGCAACTGTTTCTCAGGCGCTTTGGGCTTCTTTCAAGCTCGCAAGGCATCGGTCAGCGACAATCACCAGCTGTCAGGGACCTGGAGCGGCTCAAGAAAAGGCAGAATGAACACCTGGGTAAATGAACTTCACTGCTCTTGGATCAGGTGTCGTTTCTTTTTGGTTCGGTTCATTTTTAGTGGGGGCTGCAAAAAAAAAACACGTTTGTTTTTGTGGTTAGGGGACGATCCCAACCACACATAGGATCCGGATATTCGGCCGCTGTTGTTTCTTGATATGTGTGTCGGACCTCGTTCCCGGGTTCTGATTGTGTTTTTTTTTGAGTCTATATGCTCCGTAGTGTAAAGAGGAGGACAGAGGTAACTGGATCTACTCGGAGCTATGATGTTATGCCCAACATGCATTTCACTTCCCCAGAACTAGCTCCCCTTTTTCCTTTTTTCCTTTTTTGGGGTCCCCTTTGTTTTCCACTATCCAGGCAATGTATTTATTTTTTTGCTGGGCTCCCCTTCTTCCAGCCTGGTTAATGGACCAAACTGTTTGACCCCGAAAGTCAGATCGAGCGATCGATAGGCTTTCCCGGATCCATCAACCCAGGGGAATAATCAAGTGGGTCCCGACCCAGAATGGGTCCAAACTTGTGGCTCCCTTGACAAATTTAGCTGTGGGTGTCAAAACCGTTTTGGTATCGATCCCATTTTGGTTGGGATTGGTGAATTCGCCACCCATTTTAGGCTTCCTATTTCAGTGGGGCATTGGGATGTTCACTGGGGGTACGATTTGGATTTTGAACCATGGCCGTTTGTTGGCACCAAAGAGATAAGCCATGAGGTAGACACTGCCGGTTGCCATTCACCCAGCTCGCGGATCGCTTCTTAGGGTTAACTCTGCTTCCCCCGAAATCTTCTCCAACCTGGATCTTACCATTGTGACCCAGCATATGTTCGATTGTTTTTGCCTAGAGACAGATATGGCTACGGGATGGGAAAGAATGCCTTCAGCAGGTACAACCCACAGACCCATGTGGACTGTCGCTTGCAAGTTCACAGTTGCCCAGCGGTGCCCTTTTTTTTCCCCCTTTTTTTCTGGGTAAGGGGTTCCCCGTTAAACTCAACCAAAAGGATGCCGATCCCTTTCTTCCCATCTGGAAATCCCCTGGGCCTCGGAGCGTTGCCCAACCTTTCGCGGGGTTTCTCTGAGGCCCATCCGCGTGTACTGCCGCTTTCGCGCCCAGAACGAGGCTGAGGAGTACCGAGGCGGACAGGAGGCGCGGAAAAAAACAAGGCCACGAGGACGGGTTCTGGCGATCTGGCGATCCGGAGCCAAAAGCCGACTAGGTCCCCCAGCGATTGGCGCCAACGTTTACCCCTTTCTTTTTTGTTTGGTTTTGGGTTCCCCTACTAAAATAGGCTGCAGAAAAAAATCGGGTATACCCTTATTCTAACCTCTCTACTGGAGGACCTAGCCGAGGGGTCAGCTGCATCACCCGCTGCGGAAGGTTTCTTTCGAGATCCCTTAGTTTTCCCTAGATCCCAGTCACTATAAGTACCCTCCGATGCATTTTCAAACGTCTTGTTCATTACAGGGTGGTTCCCAGGACTACCTACCATACAGGTAAATGGAATCACTCACTTCACTTGGTTAATTTTGGTACTCTTGTAGAACATTTGGCCAGATGCGACGTGGGCAGATTCTCCCGTGGGCCCTTTTCGCTTTTTCCGGTCTTTGAAAGCTGGCTTGGCCTGGGTATTTGGGTGTCTTACAATAGGGGAGCCTCCAAATAATGGGCGGCTCCGAAAAATGGTACCATCAAACAAAAGCAGACCCATTTTGTAAAACGGGATGGTTGGGCGTGTTCATGTCCAATGTGCATGTTTGGCGCATGTTAGATGCCTTGACAGCTCATGGTGTTGCCCAAGTGGCTGCGGCTAAAATGGAATTCCAAAACATGGAACCTTGGTATATGGAAAGAATAAAACCTGCGGTTAGCCCCAGTGTAATATTGAGCCAAGTGACCCCTGCTTCGGACGGTTGCAAAACCCATTTCGCATCACGAAAATAATCCAGGGTGGGCACTATTGTTTGGTATTTTCTGTGGAATCATCAGATACCAGTGCTTCTGAACGGTGGTGCAAAAATGATTTTTGTCCGTCCACAATATCAGTCAACTGATGATTCCGGGGTTAGTCCGAAAGTGCTCACATTCGTGGAGTGCGGAGTGCCTGGCGATTGAATCCGTGCCGAAGCCACGAATCTTTCTTGCCCGAAGTGCCTTCTGTTGGACCCTCTGTAGGATGGGATTGCATGGGTTTCTTCAAAGCCAAAAGGCCACCGCTTCCAAATTCTGTGGGGACGAATGTGAGACGCATCCGAAATAACTTGGGTGCCAATTTTGGAAGGCATCGGTGGAAGATCAGTGTCGAAGCTGCATCCTCAATCTTGGTACCTCAAAATGGACTTCTGAGGTCTACACCCTTCTCCATTGGAGGGTGTCTTTTGATGCTTGGGGATGGTTTCAAAACCAGCAAGAACTTCCGACGAATGCATCAAGTTGGTCCCTGAATCAAGCCAGAAAGGTCACACCCACGTTTGATGTCGTCTGCTTGTGCTGGTGCTTCTTTTGCACCGCTGAAAATCCCTTGTTCAAGCCACCATTAGAGCAATGTGGGCTAATATAGCCACCACTAGTTACCTAACGATGTTCATCATGCAAATTGGGTCAACCATTCTTTTTATGGGGGTTGAATCGCAAAAGTATCTTGCTTGAAGCACAACGCAATCCATTTCACATCGATAGGACACAACCACATGCCCACCTTTTAGTTTGAACACAAGGTGCCCTTTGAAAGCTTTGCCTCCATCATTTCCTTGCCTTATGTCACAAATGTCCCATCTTCAAGTTTGCTCCTTGTAACTATGGTTTCCCTTACTCCCTGTTGTTGCCCTGACCCTATTTGGTGGATTTGTTTCATTGCTCGTCCAAGCTGTCGTTGGCGGCATGTTCCTGGTGTTCCCTTCCATTTGTTCCCCTTCCTTGTTCATGCTTCCCATGCTGCTATGAGTCAAAGCTCGAACCTCTACTGTGGGCCCGAAAAGAGGTCCGCCCCCAAGGGTGCACCCATTAAAGCTCCAACCCCTCTACTGTGGTTACCCCTGTCCCAGGCCTGTTTCATGTTCCCCTTGGTGTTCCGTGGTTTCATCAAGAAGCGCCCAAAGCCACATAAAGGGCCAGTTTGTTGTGGGTAGTTCTACCTGGTTAGGAATTATTGTAGCCCTGAACCTGTATGGCGCCATGTTAGAACCAAACATGTCAAGGGGGGTTTCGGCCGCTGCTATAAAACTACCCCATGTTCCACCCCAACGAAATCCCCTTTGACTCCCAAGGAAATCCAACCGTTTCGACGTCGACATCGGTCGCCCCCGGATTTGAGGCATGGGAGTTTAGTGGCTCGCCCCTGAGCTGCGTGCAGCAGCCCGCTTCCGCGTTTGAATCCGATCCGATCCGATTCGGCGCTTCGGCTCCGATTCGGCGCCGAATCTTTTGGTGGGTGAAGGACTTGCATTTGATTAAGAATATTTTTAATTTTTCCCCGGTTGGTTTTAAAGGGAATCGATTTCACTACTGGAAATATTGTCATTTTTCCCAGGGGCCTGAACCAAATGGAAGAGGAGCAAGCCCAATCGACGATCCGTGTAGGTTATGCGGGTGCCCGGAGTCGGGGGGGGATCTGACCCGAATCAATCATGTTTGGGCTTTGCCCAAAAACAAGACTCAGGTCATGACCAACCATGTTTAAAGGGTCAGAAGGAGACTCCAAGTACCCACATTACCCTCCAAATGGGTCGAATGTCTACATGGATTGGGAGTCAGTGGCGTCGTGAAAAAGCTAGGGGGACATCATCATTCGGTGGCGCCAGTTGCCCCTTTGAACAGAAGCACGCTAAAAGGGGACGGGATGTTGCCCCCGGAGAGAGATTGCCCATGTTTGGAGATGCCAACTGTGTGCTTATATGTTTGTACATACCTTTCTGTGCGTGTGTGCTTCTTAGGGTGCCGGTTTGGGTGTTGTAACGTGTTTGAGTGAGCGGATCCGTTGGTGGCTCTGCGCATGTGTGTGTGTGTGTGTGTTTGTGTGTTTGTGTGTTTGTGTGTTTGTGTGTTTGTGTGTTTGTGTGTTTGGGTGTGTGTGTGTTTGTGTGTTTGTGTGTTTGTGTGTTTGTGTGTTTGTGTGTTTGTGTGTTTGTGTGGTTGTGTGGTTGTGTGGTTGTGTGTTTGTGTGTTTGTGTGTTTGTGTGTTTGTGTGTTTGTGTGTTTGTGTGTTTGTGTGTTTGTGTGTTTGTGTGTTTGTGTGTTTGTGTGTTTGTGTGTTGTTGTGTGCTTTTCTGTGTTTTTGTGTGTTTTTTTTGTGTTTTTGTGTGTTTGTGTGTGTTTGTGTGTGTTTGTGTGTTTGTGTGTTTGTGTGTTTGTGTGTTTGCGTGTTTGTGTGTTTGTGTGTTTGTGTGTGTTTGTGTGTTTGTGTGTGAGTGTGTGAGTGTGTGAGTGTGTGAGTGTGTGAGTGTGTGAGTGTGTGAGTGTGTGAGTGTGTGTGTGTGTTTGCGCGCGTGTGCGCGTAAGCGTGTGGGTTTTGTGTGGTGTGGGTGTGGTGTTGGTGTGGGTGTGGTGTGTGGTGAGAGTGAGAGGCGCATTTGGTCCTGTGCGTGGTGTGTGTGTGTGTGGATTAGTTGTGTGCATGCTTGGTGCTTGTGTTCTGTTTATTCTATGTGCATGTTGTGCATACCCTGCACTGAAAGATTACACACACCCATTTCCCTTGTTCCCCCTCTTGTTTCATATTTGGTTGGCATCCGCCTCCATTCGCCAGGGCTCCCAGCACTGCGACGCTGGGAGCGCTCCCGAACTACATCTTCGACCGCTGCACGGCTCAACTTCTCGCCCGTTACGGCGTGGCCGGTGGGAACTTGACTACTATTGGGTAACGGAGCTTTAGACTCTAACTTTTTGGGAAATCAAGTTGAGTTTCCACTGAACCACCAAGAAGAAAAACTGTTTGCCGGGTGAACAGCAAAGAAGTGTTCTGCTTGTTTGGGTCGTTTGGGATCAGTTTGTTGTTTAGGGGTCGGGTAACCCGGTAGCGTGTCTGGGGTTGGGGTCACTCTTCGGGGGTATTTCGATCTCGCTTGCGAATGTGTTCCGCTCCCTAGAGTGTATGGTACTCCCTGTAGTGCAAAAATGTGTATAATCATCTTAGTATAATCTAGAACCAGCAGTCCATGTGTTTTGGCCGCTCGAATGATCTTGCACATCTTGCTTGCCCTTTTCGCTCCTCCGGATGTAGCTGTGTAAGCATTCCATCGCGATCAAGTCCTGCCAAAGCAGTTTAGCTTGAGGTGCTATATTTGGGGGTTCCCAAAAAAATGAGGTGTCACTCCACTCTCTCAGGCCTTTTGGCATCTGAGGCGTCTTTGGTCCAGAGGCACTTCGGGATGTCCGCAATGCCGCGCGTGTTGAGTGGACATGTCATACCTCGGCTGCTAGTTGGTTGCATCTCTTTGGGGAATTCGTTCTTTGTTCCCAGTACTACACTAAACCTCGATGAGTGCGTCACTCCCTGCCCCTCCTTTAAGTACAGCCCGGTTGATCCGCGGAAAGCGCGCAAAACCCGACCTTCCGGGTGTTCGGAAGGAAGCGGAAGAGGATTCCCTTATAACTAGGCCCCCCAGGATCGTGCCCTTCTACCGTTTCTTTTTTTTGGGAGGGTTCAATTCCCTACCAAAATAGACCACCGGGAAAAAAAGGACACCAACTTATTCTAAGCTCTCTACTGGACCTAGAGCAAGCACTTGCAGACCTAATTAATGAAAGCTGTAGGGGATAGGTTTTCTCGGGGTCATTCCATTTCTCATTCCCTGCCTATCGCATGGTTGTTGTTGGGAAACATTTTACATTTTTGCTTATTGTGGTTTAGTGGTTGAAATCCAACCACTGAACTGCTAAAATTTGAAAATGTTTGCTCCCCTTCTAACGTCAACCAAGATCGAACCCTCGCAAGCACTTGCCGGGGGGGGGGACCTCCGCGCCATTCAGCCGCTCAGCCGTGGTTTCGTGCCCTTCCCGGCCAAGTCAGCACTGGAAGCTGTGGAATGGCAGCAATAAATCCAATCTTCCGTTTGCTGAAGAGAATATTTTACTTATTTGTCCCCGGCAAATTTTTGGAAACAGGTTATTTTTCCAGGGGGATTAAGGAAATGGAAGTAATGCGGCCGGTTTTGCCACTGAATGCGAGTTGTATTCACTTGGCACACCGGCCGAAGATGAGGATGGCCATTTTCTGCACCTAGGGAACCTGGAACAAAGTAGCAACGTACGGGGCTGGACATCCCACCAAACGTCATTACGGATTTCAGGAGCATTGCCCACATTTGCCCACGAAGCGTGAGCCGGAACCATGGGGTGTTCAACCCTCCGCCCAAAACGCGCGGGCAGAGGCATCTCAGCAAGAGGTCTACGAGACCGTTGATCCGGTGGTGCAGGAGGCGAGCAACTGGATATGCGACAGTGAATAGTTTCGGAATTCCTGCTCCAGCTTCGGAACGTTTGTTTCTTGGTGATTGACAGCCATCCAATTTGGCCATGAATTTTAACACGGAACCACTGCAAAAGTGATTGGTGGACATGAATCCCCACCTAAATGATGTCCACCAAAAGGTCCCTTATTAAAATTCACAGCCATTTGGTTTTGCGTCTTTTTGGGTTCAGTGAGGGTGTCCACTAAGCCCACTAAGGGTTAAACTTTTGGCGGATCGGGGGACGGGGGACCCAGGTTTTGCGAAGTAAGGTTGACCCCTGATGATACCTTCCCAGTTTTTCGGAGGGGGGGGTTCTGGAAGAAAGGAACTCGGCAGTAGAGGCTTTATGGCTCAATGACTTCCATTTGTTTAAGACTATATGTTTTTGCCTTGTTGGTTTTAAAGGGAATCTATCACTATTGGATTTTTTCATTTTGTCCAGGGGGCTTAAGCAATTGGAAGACGAGCAACACTGATGAACCCTAGAACCCCGCCAGGGATTCTGCAGAGGAATCTCCTTGGAGGACCCCCAAAACATGGGGATCCTTCCATTTGAAGTTACATCTCCACAAAATTAGTCTGCCAATTGCGTTTCAGCATAATGTAAGTTATTCTCCCCCGTTTGTTTTAAAGGGAGTCTATCACTGGAACAATTTGTCCAGGAGACTTATATAAATGGGACATGTTGGTTTCCATGGGAAGCCGTTTTGGGGTTGGTTGAAAGACAAACGCCACCGGAAACTGCACCTTTTGTTGCGGACTCCCATTTAGAGACAGTCACTCTGTACATTTGGGGTAAACACAAGTAGGTGGAGAAAGGACAAGTGGACACTTTGGCGCATTTGGCTTGGATGTTGGGACTTTGACTGTTTGCCAACTAATGGGTTTTCCGTTAAACCACTAAAAGTCAAACTTTTAGCAGGGGAGCAGAAAGCAACCGAGAAAACTAAGGCTGTGTTTCTTGGAAAGTCTATGCAGTTGTAAGCAACAAGTTTAGGCTTTGTTTGCCCATCAGCTGAGGATTACGTAGCAAGCTCACATATCGAGGCCAACACGAGCTCACCCATGATCAAGGTGACGTTTGACTGAAGGGTTAGGTGCAACACCGGAACTCTCCTTTTGTTGTCCCTTTTTGCGTGGTTCTGCTTCGTCCTGTGTCGAAGCATTGGCTTCAATTTGTCGTTCGCAGCCTCAGTTGTCCACGTGTTTTATCCATTTTTTGTTAGATCTAGCCTTGACTTCAATGAAGCGGACATCAATGTCCCGCAAGGAGTCTAAAAGAATCCCGAAGCCATCCTTTAGCTTATTTTAGCTTTTTTTTCATCCCGGGCTGTTTATTGCCCAAAGGAGCAGGTATCATTGTCCGAAGGAATCATCCTGTAGCCGCCATTATTGTTTTTCGTAGCCTCCCTTGCACTAACATGCTGAGGGGATTTATCTTCCAGCTACCCTCCCGCAGGTGCTATGTTTGTAGAAGGGTAATTCTGCTTCCTCCAGTTTGGTCCTCTGGAGAAACCGGCAGGAAGCTCTGCAGGAAGTTAGTTGAATGCTCCCAAGGCAAATTGTGTGAGTCATTTTCCGGGTACATTTGTTTAAGCCAAGGTGACTCGGAATGGCTACCTGACCCCTTTGGATGGTATTAGAAGGTGAAACGCAGGAACACCCACTTTCAGATTGCATTTTGTGGGTGGTTGGTGGCTACTTAATCTGAGACACCTTCTTGCCCAATGTGAATCCACAGTTTGACCTTGCTCTGGCCTGGTGATTTTACCACCAATGTCACCCGTGGTAGGTTAAAGGGAAACAGCAACCACCAGTGACTTTGAGAACCCCCTCGGACCACTCGAAGTAGCATCCTCCCTCCCACCAACATGGCACCTGACGAGGGGTTCGTTCCAAGAGAAAAGTCGATCCTCCCCGCAACCTCCCACACAGCTAGGAAGGGCAACCCTTGGCACTGCTCGAGTTCCTGGACTTGTTCCCGGTTGCCCAGTGGTGCCCTTTCAGCTTCGTTTTGGGAAGCGTTCCCTTTAAGCTCCACCAACCAAGCAAAGGATATGTCCATCAGTTCCTACACCAGCAGTCTGGACTTTTGGCCAAGCCACGGGGAGCGGAAGCCGCTTTCGGCTCTCACCTTGGGCCTTTTTTTGGTGCAGATCGATCACAGGAATTGGGTGGGACACTATGGTTGTTTTGCGTTGGTGTGAGCTCTTTTATTTGTATTTTATTTTTTAATCTGCTGTTTGATCTTTTGGTTTTTGGTTGTTTGGTTGCAAGCGATGCCGGGCTCTCCTCGAAATGTTCCACAATTTGTGCGCCAGGTCCTGTCCGGCGGTGGCAATGGGTGTATCTTGTGCTACGGGCAAACATCTGCAGGAGCGATCCGACGGAGAGCGTGTGGCCTTTGGTTTGCGTCTGTTTTGGCACGCTGCCAACTGCAGGGACTCCGTTAGGGTTCTGTTGTTGTCTTGGACCAACCCGAGAACACCCAATGGTTTTGATTTGTGGTTTGGGGAATTGAACCCCTGGCTTGGGAAAAATGGGAGATGGGGTTTCCACCCCCTGAGCACCGCTTGGGGCTGAAGCTGCCTGCCAAAGTTCCGGGATCCGGCCCCCCATTCCAGAAGCGTAGGACGCAAACTGCCCCTTTCCATGTTTGTTGGGAAGCGTTTTACATGCATAGGTGTCCTTTTTAGGTTAGTTTGGTTGAAGATAGATGGCACTGGTTTAGATGGTTTATTCCATTTACCAGGCCATCTTTTTTTTTCTCCAAAAGGCCACCTATGTTTACATGTTTGCTTATTGTTGTTTAGTGGTTGAAATCCAACCACTGAACTGCTAAATTTTGTTTTGTTTTGCTCCCCTTCTAAGGTCAACCAAGTTCCATAGATGTTTCCCTTGCCAGTTTGTGAAGCACCAGTCTTCCATGGACCCCGAGAACTTCGAATCAAGTTCTCCTTCCCAACCTGGACAGCGTAACCTAAGAGCACCCCAACCCGAACCAACGTGCGGATCCCCTCTGGCCTGGACTTGTTTCTTTTCCGAGAAAATGGCCCAGACCTGATTCTGCTCCAGGGATGTTCGGCCACCTAAATAAGACAACGGCCCCGGAGCCCTTTGGAACCCACCGGAACCAAACGGCCCCAGAGCCTTTCTGGGCAGCGACCCCAAAGCTTTCAGCTGTTGGTGAAAGCTGTTTGTTCTGTGCAACACCCGCTAATTGAACTCAACCGGTTCTATGTAATCCCGAGTTCCCATTGCCCTCCAAACAATCATGTTCTTCTGTGGCACCTTCAGTCATCCTTAGGTGGTGTGGATTGGTTTGGAATTTGCACCCTTCTTTCGTGTGGCTGGATGCGGAAGCTAACCCTAGCCTCTAAATCACCAATCCAGGCCGGGAATTACCGGGTTCCCTACATTTCCTCGTTTAGTGGTTTTAACCTAGGGGGTAATACAAGGAACCCTGAATTGGTGGTACACAACTTACAGGGATATCTATAATGGATATTTGTCAAGGGCTATTCATTGACGCCCGACTGTGAAAATGCACGTTTTGCGATATCTTGGTTTGCTTGTGTATGCAAGTTTGTATTTGTTCGCACTTGTGTGCGGAGACTTCGGAAAAACGAGGCAAGACCTTCACCGTGGAGGGCTGCGAGGCACTCGTCCGCTCTGTTTTTTTTGCTGCCTTTTGGTGGTGTCTTTTTTGGGTTCATACTTCCGGTGTCGCCCAACCCGGCCGGTCTGGCTGGAACAAGTCGTAGTTTGTTTGTTTTTTCGCCACTGAGCCCCTGAACCATGATATGTCCCTGAACCCCTGAACCATGATAAGGGCTCAAAAGGGGGCCACGGAAAGCTATTTCGCGAGTGTTGACCATGAACCCAAATGCATTTGGGGGCAGGGGTTCTGCCTTTTGTAGGAGACACTCAAATGGTTTTCAATTTCAGGAAATGATGATTTTGCCTCGACTGCTTGTGTGTGTGGGTTTGTATTTTTGTGGAAGGGAAGGGAAAAGCACATGTTGTGGGTGCCGTTTGGCGTTGATTTTGGATTTCAACCCTTTCTTGTAGAGGGTAAATGGAGTTTCGCACCTCCAAACCACCACGCAAGGAGGGAAGATGAAAATGGTGTTTAGGCCCCCCCCCAAAAAACAGGGTACAAAAACCGTGGCTTTCCTTTTGGTTGCTCCAAACCATTGGAGGGAAGCTGACATGTGGCCTTCCTTGTCGCCCAGACCCCCGCCTGCAGGGCGAGCTGCGAGGCATCATCCCGCGGACTTTGGAGGCAGCCGGGAGCCTTTGGCTTGGCGTCAAGTTTTTGGAGGGCAAGATTAAGGAAACTGGAGGAGGATGGAAGAGAAATGAAGGAAAAATGGAGGAGGATTGAGGAAATCTGGAGGAGGATGGAGGAAACATGAAGGAAACATGGAGGAGGGTTGAGGAGATATGGAGGAGGATGGAGGAGGGCGCCTTTTTATTGGCTACCGATCCCAGCCGAAAGGACATCGTGTCCTTTTCGAGGAGCCTGGGTCTGTTGGTGAAGCGTTGGAGCTTGGAAATAGTTCCTTCGGAGCCTTGACGGGCAAACGAGCGGTCCTGTGCGTCGACATGGAGATCAACCAGGGGCGGAACATGCTCCGGACAATTTACCTACGATAGGGAAACGGAATCACTGAATAAGTTTAGACAAGGCTGAACAGGTAGCCTAGGGGTCTCGATGGAGTTCGGGGAATTCCTCACTATGTTTGCAGTCGTTTGGGGTTTACGTTGATTTCGTTGACCTCCATTGCTTAAGCATGTTTTATTATTATCATTATTATTATTATCATTATTATTATTATTGTTATTGTTATTATTATTATTATTATTAATGTTGTTTCCCTTGTTGGTTTAAACAGGAATTCATCACTACTGGATACATTGTTATTTGGGTGTTTTTTTTGTTATTCACGTTGTTCTTTTGGATTTGTTCCTGGATTCGTGATGCTGATGATGTTGAAAAGGATGCTGCCGAGTTAAAACGATGCCGGGGTTTTTGACAGCGCTGGTGCAAAACGAGTCAAACCAAGCAAAACCAAGGGAGATCGAACCTGCCAGTTCCAAGACAGAAAACCTAGGAAAGTTTCCCAAAACAAAGCGGGAAAAAATCCCAGAAAAAAAACAGACCCTTTGTATTTCTTCTTGGGGCCTTAACCAAATGGAAGTTGAAGTTCTCTCAGTGGTCTTCTTGGTGTGTCCTGTCTCATGTTGTTTTTTCCCGTTGGACTAGCGTTCGTGGGGAGGTCCTGATTTTTCTGGAACAGTGAGGGCTCGGAAGGCTTGAGCGTTGATTTGCGTTTGCTTGCTTGTAGATGATGCGAGGTTGAAAAGCTTGGTGACATGCACTGTCATCCTCCTGGGGCAGCTTAATGTTGGCCCCGCATTAATACACCCTGCTTATTAATATTGGGGTGTGCCCTCCGAAAGTGATAAATCCCCAATAAAACCAGGGACACCCTATTAATACACAGGGGTTTATTACTCAGGGGTCAACTTTACACAATGACCTTAACTTTGATTGATTGATGCATTCTTTGTTAACGAGGCTGCATTGCTTCCCTGAAGGCCAACAAGACCACATGAATTGTCTGCCCCGAGTGGTTGGACTTTACGCTTAGATCTTGTGTTGGGAACAACAAGTTTGCTGGTGTCTGTTGAGACCAATCCACTAAAATGCACGTAAGACCTGAATTTAAACCTGAGCCTGCGAAAGGGAAAGGTTGTTTAGAATGGTGTGTGTACACACTATTTGAGGCTACCCTTTTCCTCACGTCCTGAGTTCCTGGACTTTAGTCGCTTTTGGGGTTGGACCATTTTAGTGGTAAACAAAAAGTCTGGTGACTTTTGCTGGCCAATCCCCTCGATCGGAAGTGAGTATTTCAGGCTGTGATTTCTGTGGACACCAGACAAGCCAAAACCATTTTCTTGCTGTCGGCAGGGAATGAGAAATGGAATGACCCGTATAAACCATCCCCTATAGGTTTTTTTCGTTTAAGGGAATCCCCTTCCGGTTCATTTGATGGAAGCTAATGAGAAATGGAATGACCCGTATAAAGAGCATCCCCAATTCGGCTTTCCTTTAAGACGCATCCCCTTCCGGTTCATTTGATGGAAGCTGAAAGAATCAGGATCCCGATGCAAGTGCTGGTGACGCTTGGCCTTTCCCAAGGTCTTCGAAGACTTTCTTCCATCCTGCCAGGAAGAGGCAGGGATTGGATTCGAACTTGGGC